AATGTTAAAAAGTGTTGAATCATAGAGAACGACTTGGTTAAAGAGACGAAATACAACTTATAAATCTCATATTTCCATATGGCAACCATCAAACTGTGTATTGAATATCATTTGCTGAGAATAAATAAGAGCATTTTCTCATTTTATTTCCAGGAAAGCTTGTTGTTTTATATTCAGCGCCAGAGCTCTTAAGATAAAATCCCAAGAGACTTATTTTTCATTTAAGAATTAGAATGTGAGAATTATCTAAATGGTAGTGACAACCTTTAAGCATTTTGATCAATCAAATAATTGCTAGATTCAATTTCCGTTGCATGTCATATGAAAATTGCCAAAATGTAACTAATTACTATTGAACAAATATATGAGGCTGTTTTCGAAATCAAAATCAATACGAAATAACCGCAGGTGAGATCAATACTATATCATTTATTAATAAGGTCTGCCTGTAACAGAATAAAATATTGAGAAAAATGTTTTTTTTTACTTTTATCTTTTTACTGAAATGTCTTTTCAGTTCTTTTTCCAGAGCATTTATTTTAAAACCAGGCTTCCTCTATTTATGACATAAATTGGAAGGTGATTTTTTTATTTATATTTTTTTTCTTATACTTGCCACAAAGACACTATAGCACCATTTCCAGGGTATGTATCTGACAGCTCATTAACATTAAATGTTTTGTCTCTTGTAATTCGTTCAAATTATTAAATAATGCCCCTTTTAAGTTTTTAAATCTTTTTTATTTATAGAAATTTTATAGAAATTAATTCATATTTATTAAAGGAGTTAACTGCAAGTATTTTTAAGTAATAAATTTTGTAAGGAAGAATATCAGTATATACATGCAATTAAAATTGTAAATTAAAGAATTAAAGATTAATTCATTATTACTTGTCATGAAAAAAGTTATAGAAACCATGAATCCACGAAATGGAGTGTGAAACAATAATGATTAATAGTGATACCTCAGAAATTCTTTATGCATTTTCTAATAACTATAATCCTCATTTCTTATATCGTGATAAGATTCTTTGTTATTGTAATCAATTGTAATCACACTAACGATACGCTTATCAATACATTTTTCATTCTCCTTTTTGTAAATAAATATAATTATAAGAACTTGTTATTATTCTGAATATGTTTCTTTCAAGAACAATATCTTAGAGGCATATGTATTCGTTTTGCAAGAACAAAATAAAGTAATACTGAATTATCAAGACAGGCAGACAGAGAACGAACGACACAAAGGGATTTTCTGTGAAAACACAAAATGTTTTAATCAATAGAAAACCAATGTCTCGAAATTACCCATCATTTCAAATTGTCAAAACTAATTTAATACAAAATAGTTTATCGTTCTTCGGTGTTATAAATTGTTTTTCTTTCCCTTCAAAATAGTCCACAAATTAAACCAATATCTGTTTATTTTCAATTTTAAAGTAATTGCACTTGATAATAAACTTGCTAATTTGAGAAAATAATAGATTGTGTGTATGTGTATATTCAAAATAAAGATCACCCTATTCATTTCAAAATAGTATATAATAGCATTTATTTACACACTGAATTGTCGACGGATTTTTCCGTTATTTCCCGATCATGACAAGGAGCACATGGCGGGTGTGACCGGTCGGCAGGGGATGCTTACTCCTCCGTGGCACCTGATCCCACCACTGATGTTTTTGGAGGTCCGTGTTTGCTTTGTTTCCAATGTGTATTGTTTTAATGGATTTTGAGCTGGAATACTGTTCGTTATCTCCATATTTCATTTTTATAAATATATTTTGCTTATTAAATACTGTCATTAAACTTTGTTTATTTTATTTCTAGTTCTTTAAAAAATATTCTTATTAATCTTATTTATCTTATTTTTTTATGAAGAAATTTTTGTAATACATGACAAGAGCAATTCATTCAATGTTATATGTATATACCTTCGCATTGGCATCTTTTTTTTTTGAACGTCAACTTTGTGCTTTACTGTATATATGGTGTGTTTTTGTTGTTTTGTTTTTTGTTTTTGTTTTTTTTGTTTTTTGACATTTTTTATGTAACACATGAGATTATTATACAACATTACTATGATATGTAAAATTATATTTGTTTAGGATATGGCTTTTGTGATCACCCATATTGTACTGATATATGTGCATTGTCATTTCAATATTTGATAATTTACATAATTATGATGTTTGTGCTACGGGGGTTCATAATTAATTTGGCCCAAAACCAACCTGGACGACATGTATTACATAATACAGCATAGTTGTTAGGTAATAGCGTTTATGTAATCCTTGTTTTTTTAAAGGTAACTTCTGCCTTCACATATTAATATTCTTTGGGGTATCAGCCAAACATTTAAGAATGATCCAATCAGGGATAGGGATTTTTTTCTCGTGACAGAACATAGCGTCAAATGACCGATTTTACCTGTAATCAGAAAGACTTTTGGTAATGAAATCATCCACCAACCTTTCCCAACTTTCATCATCACACATGTAACAAATTTTGGAAGGCTTTTATATATGAAAGCCAACTTTTCATCATTTTTTTTGTTCATCGCCAGCTTTTGGTTGCATAATACATACATTATTTATACATATATTAATTATACATATACTAAGTAATTTGCCCTTGTGGGCATCTTTTCTTTATTTATGAATACCAACCTTTTGCTTGTACTGTATGTTTTATAATTTGTTCTAATATTTTTTGCATCATTTTTTGTATGTATAAGGATACTCATCATACAACTTTACTATGATATATAAACTAACATTTGTATAAGATATGGCTTTTGTGATCTCCCCATTTTTTGTATTGACAATATTCACTGTCATTTTAGTAAATGACAATTCACACAAATATGGTGTTTGTACTACTTTATCCTGGCAAGAAGGCTTAACAATTAATTTGAAAAAAAATAATAAAACAAATCTGGACAACATTTATTATGTAATAATTTTCGGTTATATTAAGATACTTTACAATGGTTCTCTGTCTCTAAAACCGATTGGAGCTGCATTCCTATCAATTTTCATAAAGAGACATATTAATATATACCGGAATAAAAAGCTAGGGATTGTAGTTTTACTCCAATAAAAAACTGTTACGACAAAGCTACAGTAGCTACACAAACATGTCATTTGCTCAGATTTAGTCTCGTTTATGCATATATCATTCAGGAGAGAGAAATGAAGAAATATTTTGTGCTGGTCCCGAGAATGAAATATGAAGATAATAAACAGTAATTATGCTTAAATGTCCATTGAAACGATACAAATTGTGAGCATAGCAAACAAGGATGTCTTAAAACAGAGGTAAAATCAGGTGCCATGGAGTAAGCATCTCCTATAGACCGATCACATCATCTGTTATGATCAGCTGATCAGCCTCATGATCAGCCTCGGCTGGCCTCGGTCAACGATGGTTTTTACGGGATAACTATTTCACATGTTACCCTAAAAACATGTAATATTTTCATATTGCTACATAACTACGGGGTGTTGAGGATAAAAGGATAGAGGATAAAGTTAAAGTCATCAGGTTTATCACGAAGTTTAGTTGTGATTTGCCATCAATATCTTTCTCAGGTAAAATATCCAAATATGAAACAGATTTGTCAGGTTCTGCGGTGTTCCATTAATTTCGAATTCAACAGTTTATCGGGATATATCGAATGATTTTTCTTTTGCCATAAAAGCAGATTTTTTTTAGGTTCTGAAACCTGCATTTATGAAAACATATTTTCAACAACAGAACAAAATTTGCATGAGTTATGCAAAAATACTATTTTCTCTTTAAGTTTTTTTTCCCTTTTTTTTGTCCATGTGTCTCTTAAATAATTTTCTTATAACAATTCAATATTAAGGAAACAAAGCAAGAGAAAAAAAACTAAAATACGTTCCAAAATGCTGAATAAAACGAGAAATCGATATGCCTTATTTTCCTTTACTGTAGGTTCTCAACAGAAGATAATGAGATCTTGTATTTTCTCTGTTCTACAACAAGAAAATCCAAACATAAACCTGTCCACAAATAACTCTTCAAAACGGAACTAAGATTATCATCGGCGACCGAATCCTCACTTGAATAAGGTAGATTACACCATTGAACATATATATCAGATACAAGTATCTCAAATCGGGATCAAGGATATTGATGGTGCGTCACTCTTCGAGTGGCAATTTCCTGACATAGGCTTCTTTATTGCTGTATTTGACCATGTCATACAGAGTCTCTTTTCGCACTTTGATTCGATCCTGACTGAAAACACTATTAGAGAGACTTCATTGTCAGAAAGAGATGAGACAATTAAGTATAAAAAAGGAAAGAAAAACATTTTTTACAGTCCGTTTAGGAATTTTTATTTTTCTGTTAAGCTAATTGGCATATCATTTTAAAGGAACTATACTGAATCTACGTATCAGATGAAATATGCCTCTAACATATCCAAAGTAGAATCAAGATATATGATGTATTATAAAAATATTGGGATGGTGAAGACGTCACTTCATTCAACTAATTTCAAATTCTGAAAACGACAATTTTACAGAGCCTAATCATTGAAATTGTTAGAAAGCCCTGATCTGGTCATTGGAACCAGATTCAGAATACTGGAGACAGTGATGGATCATATTGAATGCTTCTCCAGCTCTGTATTTACAAAATGTGATAAAGTAATTAAGAAATTGTCAGCGAGAAGACTGATTTTCATTGCAAACTATTAGCACCGAACCATTCTGCTTGGTTTTACATTTGCGACATTACATAGCTCTAAAAGCATTATATATGGTAGGCATTGATTAATCAGATATATTAGCGAGTTCTCGAGCTGTAATTTCATTTGTATCAAATCCGAGAGGACTCTTTCCAGGCCAGCACTTACCTATATTTTGCTCCAATGTGTAACATCACGCTCAACGATTCCGAATGTAGTCTCTAATAGAGCGCTGGTATGTGGTATAGGTTTTTGGTCTATTTCAATCAGTCAGGCATACGTTCAGTAGCTTTTGAGATATACAATATTCAATGGTATTGGAAGAAGCGTTTTGATGGCACATTGCTGGAGAAGAGATTCAGACGGTGACTAACAATTTGGATTTTCTCTTTTGAGACTGAGGAGTATGCATCACTAAACCTGGTGGATTTATAGAATGACATCGACGGAAAATCGCCTAGAAGTGAGTACTAAATAAAATATCGATTTAGCTAAATGTTGAAACAACTTGTCTCAAAATATGAAATGATGAAAATTACACTGAAACATTCAAATTTTATTACAGTGATGAGTTATAGGAAGTAAGGAACTGTTGTTTGAATAAAATTTTGCATTTCACTGTTTATACAAAAACAATTTTGTTTTTGGTGTCGTTATCAGGGAAAAACATAGCAACAGAATGATTTCCACTAAAACAATCAAACTATGATCTCTCCCCAAATTAACGGTGTCAAGAAAGAATAAATCTTGAAAATAAAATCTACAGACACTCCTACTCACCTGAATTCCATTCAACAGACCACGACCGTCTAATTATTTTTCTTGATTTACAATTAGCAATCGATTAAGCTCTTATGTGAATCGTAAAGTGCACAATTTTATCTCATTTATCTCATTTTCTATCAATATGGACTGACGATAAAACTACAATATGACGATTATCTTGTGGAATTCTAACAAATATCAATAATGATATAAATGGTCGGACATCATAAACAATTTTTAATTTGTCTACATATTTTCAAGAGACATTTCATTGTCTTAAATAATATTTTGAAAATATTATCTTAAAACAAATCTTTCTGAATCAATTCTAACTGAAAACCCCTTTTTTTGGGTAAAGTAACGATACAAAATAAAATACTTGAACATGATGTTTTTTTTAAAACCATATAGAGAAGTCTAGAACTTTTGCTGAACAATAAATTCCATGTCAGGAAGGCAGTTTTTTTTTCATTTTCTAGCAAAATTTAGGACTGATCCTACGTTACAGTAATTATTTCTGACACACTCAGAATGTGCATCCTGACAGATGACGTAAATAGAGACATACATGTATGACGGTATATAAAGTAAAAGGTTTATGCTAGAAATTAAATAACCATTTTAAAATTGCGGACATTACGACATCATGCACGTGTGGTAGAGTGAATAAAGGAATATTTCGTCACACAGGCATCATCTACTTGTATATCAAGTACATGATTGTCTGTCTAATAATCAGGAAATCAAAATAAAATCAAATGATTCATACAATGCCTTTTTTATCTAAGATAAAGTTTTAATATGAGAATAAGGGTTTTCTGAACAGACATATATACCTCGTGATATGTTACTGTAAATAGATTTTTTTTCATACTAATTGTTAGGCCATTATTTACACACTGAATTGCCGACGGATTTTTTCGTTATTTCCCAATCATGACAAGGAGCACACGGCGGGTGTAACCGGTCGGCAGGGGATGCTCACTCCTCCATGGCACCTGATCCCACCTCTGATGTCTTAGAGGTCCGTGTTTGCCCTGCTCCTATTTTGTAATGTTTAATGGACTTTTGAGCTCGAATTCTGTTTGTTATCTCCACATATTTCATTCAGTCATTGTTGGTCTAAATGTTCATAAAAAATGAAATTTGGCACTGAAATAACAAGTACTGTAATCCGTTAAACCTTATTAAAGTTTAGAAGGTTGATTGGTCCTTTAATTGAGATTTCAACATTTTAGAGATGTCATTTCTTAATTTGTTTTCACAGTCTGAAATGACAAAAAAAGGCTGATATGTGCCTTCTTACATGAAAATCAGACAGTTAAATTGTGATAGTTTCTGTTAATTATCTAAAATGAAGTCCAATGTTGTAAAGCAAAACATCCTCCTCAGTAGAGACCCACCATCCCCTTTCAATCAGTAGTATATAGCAAAAGTTCCCCATGGGAGACGTTCTGCTTTATAGCTATGGTTCCACACTTTCCTTCATTTATGCTATCAGCTATTATTTTACATGCGTCATTAAATGGACATCGCCACGATTTTTCATTAGATTTTTCTTTTTTTTAAAAAATTTTTCTAATGCATTATATATGAAACAGTCAACCAAAACCTGAATATCACATTAAATAAAATGTGCGTTACAGATCTTACATTCAATGCCTTTAATCTATACAAGTAAATGACTGTGAACAAATTTAATCTCTACAACAAAATGACCGATTAAAAAACATGAAGAATTATCAAATTGAGATAATATGATTGCATTGATTTTTTTTTTTTACTAAAACAATTATAGTTATTATAGATACAATTATAGTTGGTAGGGAAAATCTACTACATTTATATTGCAAGCATATGGCAAAAATGAAGGCTACCGTGAAATATACGTTTTCTTTAGACATAAATTCTCTAAAATTAACGAGAATAAAGATATTTTAAGATTGAAATGTGAAGATAACAAACAGTTATGCTCAAATGTCCATTCATTTCAATACAGATTATCAGAAGAGCCAACATTGGTCTCTAAAAAGGTTGGATTAGGTGTCATAGAGGAGTATGCGTCCCCTGTCGACGTCTTTCAGAAGAATCCAGAAAAAATCATAATTACTACAGAGTACCTTACAGATAGCAAACACAAATTGATTTCAAACATATGCACACTATGCAGATATTGAAATAAATAACCTAATTAATCATTTGGACGTATAATTTACTTCTCTCATTGTTGACTGTGAAATTGGGCAAAATTGCAAAATTACAAAATTCTAATCCTTTATTTAAACACGGGTGCATGGTAATTTTATAAACGTTTCTTTGAATTGTAGTTCGATAAAATGCATCTGTATGCATCTACTCAGAAGGATGTTTTCTATTTTTTTAGTGATCGTAAACTCTTGAAAATACTGATATTTTTTAATCTTTCAAATATTAACATAATTTAATTTTCTGCTCAGATATCAGAAAAAAGATTTTCTTTTTCTTCTTGCTTGTCAACGTTTTCAGGTTCTTTGTCAATTTTTCATGACTGTCCTCCCCCTTTCACTTACAAAAACTATGCTACGTACATGAACCTTTTGCTTTCTTTTATTTCTCTTTTTTGAAATTTCAGATAAATACTATTCAATCAGAACTATATAATACACTAAGACACTACATCATTAGTCATCAAGATGTGTTACACTGTTTAAGGAATACATCGTGATACATTCGTCAACATGTTGTTTTATCATGAAGGTATTTCAAAAAGATGTTGGCAGTCGAACTATAAAAGGGTTAGGATTCATTTCTAAAATCTGCAATGCCAAAAAGTATGCATGATAGTCATATAAAACACAATTTCTTTCTGAAAGTAGGGAATTTGTATGATCACATCTAGTATAATTCTTTTGAGATACATTTCATATTGATCCTTAAAGTATACATTGTAAAAATGCTGTCAACAAATGAAGCCAATTTTTTTGTCAGCATACCTGATACTGTGGAATTATTAAAATTCGTGGGGGGGGGGGGGGGTCGGGTTAATTTTCATGGATTGGTTAAATTTTACATGTTTGTTGGGACTTTATTTCGTGTATTCTCTTATTTCTACCAAAGGAAATATGACTTAATGACCATAATTTATTAATTCGTGGAGGATGTTAATTCGTGAATGACAGGTACCCACGAATTCCACGAAAAGTGAGCCACCATGAAATCTAATGACTCCACAGCAATACCGGGTATTTGCGGGAGAGGTTGTGCTTGAGTAATGTTTTCAGAAGTTGAAGACACGATAAAGATAAGTGTACCAAATGTAGTCAATGGTACATCAGGAAGTTGAGTTATTAAGACACATATTTATTTTGAACTATACATATATTTAAGCTTTTACTAAAAATAAATTCATGGAAATAATGTCAACTCAAAAGAAAAAAATCCTGAAAAAAAATGTTTGTTTATTTTAAAAAATTATAATGCTGTCTGTCCTCCTTTTTTATGTTTTTCATTTTCTGTCATCTTTTTGTATTGTATATGTACTTCTGACCAGTTTGTAGTAAATGTAATGTATCCCCATGTACCAATATTTTGGTTTGGGTGAATAAACTAAACTTGAACTTGCTTTGATTTGAAGTCAATCATGATAACGATATACTTTGCTTAAGTATGAAAGGCGTGAATTTTCAAGCTTGACTTTTTTTGTGTTACAAAATACATTTCTTTGGGGAATTTTTAATGTGCCAATAATTGAAGAACTATTCATAAACAAGGTAAAAATGAGGATCCGTGTTTAAGTAGCGCTACTACAAATTGGTCACATGAGATTCGAATTAATTCTTTCAAATAAATCATCGGATCCAGAATTCTTTTTAATCAGCTTAATGTACAGTATCATTTCATCGACATATTTGATAAAACCAAAAGATCCCATCTTCTGAAAACCCTTGGTACAAATAAAATGTATTTTTTTTTTATCAATAAAATTTCTTTTTTGACATTTCATTTTAGAGAGCCTAGAACGGTCATGTGTTACCCACAATGAGTATCTTACACCATTTGTTTTACTGACATTTTTTTTTGCAGTGAGTCTGTTCATAGTGTTTACGTTTGAGTAAATAGCATGATTCATAAACTATCGACCCAAGCAGAGAGCAATGTATGAAAAATACCGTCATCTTAAGACCTGTCTTGTTATTCTATTTGCCTCATTACTAACCAGTGATTACAGTATCACATCTGTCCTTAATACTGCATTAGAAAGCTAATTATTCCATGCCAAAGTACAGGAAATCGGGCATAAAGTATACACAAAAATAGTTATACTGATATAAAAACAAATATTAAATGATGCTCCATTTAGAGTGTTTCTACCTCACTCCTGAAAAAGATGGTGTTGAGAAGGAATTCTTTGAAGTAAATATATTTTTTGAGATCAAAGATTTTGTGTCATAACATGTTCACAACAAAGAAAGTCGATTGGAAAGGTGGCTTCTATTTTATAAACTTTCATTTCTTCTTTACTCTAATGGAAAGCTAGAAGCTAGCGGGAAAATCTCAAGGTAAAAGATTTAGCCATTTATGAAACATCTCCGCAGACAAACGTGGAAAATAAAATTATTCTCCATTTTAGACTCTTTTTAGCCACAGTTACCATATCTATTTTTGGTCTTACATGTCTTTTCACTTCTCCATCATCTAATTTCCTAGACATAAACCATT